TTCCCTTGCCTTGGTCTGTTTGGCTTGAAAATACATCTCCGGGGCAAAAAAACAAGGGTATTTCCTCTTTAGTCCCATTTCCCCCTTTTACTTTGACTTTTGCAGAGAGATGTGATTGCAGAATTTTGGTTGAAAGGAATCTTAAAGAAAACTACACAATGCTCTGCAGCAGAATAACCTTAGAGATCATCCAGTTCAGCTCTCTCACATTTTAGGCCTCAAAATAGAGATTCCTCAGTCACAGGTAAAGTAATTCCAGGACTAGAATGGCAGGATGCGGATGGCATGGGCCAGAAGTCTTAACCCAGGTCCTCTGATCTAGTCCAGAGAAAGGACAATTTCAGTTTCTTCCTAGTTCTAAAACGAAATGTACTGATGATTCTCAGCATCATACTTTGGTTGTGCTATGTGACATAGGTCATGCTACTTAACTTCTATAAGCATCAGTTTCCTAAAAAAAATTAAAATTAAAATTAAAAAAAACAGAAGTATTGCAAGGATTGAATAAGATGATGTATGTAAACCATTCAACACAAACATGATGGAGTTCAATAAAGAATAGCTATTAAATTTTGATGACCATAATTTAACAGACTAATAAATTGAAGGAATTTCTGGCAGAAGAAAGAATTAGTGTTTATTAAATTCTTCCTATGGAAAAGATGCTGACTTTTGGAAAAGACAGAGACTGAAGATTCTAAGGAGGCACCAGCATTCCTACTTCCTAACTGCAGAGCCTGAGAATAATTCCTTTAGAAGAGTGCCTCAGGTACCTGCCAGAGTTGAGAACTCAACGCGCTTCAGCTGAGAAAGTTAAAATAAATGCAAACTAGAAAGGCACCCTATCTATCCCATCAGCATAAACAATGCACTCCAAGTTTTATAAAAATGAGCAAATGAAAAGTTAACCTGAGTTTATCCCCCAAAATGTCAGACACCAAATGTTTTGTAACCTTCTTATTCGTTGGTGGTTTTTCTTTCCCCACAGAGCAATTTCCAAAATGGGCAAAGAGCACAGTAGGTGGATCTCTTTAATATTTCACAGGCAAGGCAACAGTGACTCACCAGAACCTACATCTGTGTCTCCAGCAAAAGCCCAATGAAGTTGAGCAACAAATGAAACTGTATGTACACTGGAGATAACCTCTCTTTCCCCCTGTCTCCTCCTCCAATTTCCTCCAGTCACATTCTGCTTTCCTAACAACACCAGGTAAGATGTACCTACTTCTTGGCAAAAGCAAATAAATAAATGTTCCCAAATGCCAAAAGCAAGGAACAAAACATTTCTCCCAGGACTGCATTTGCAAGCCTGTCTGCTTGCTATAACGGAGACAAACCTGATGACCTGTGAGGAGTCTCTATAGATAAATGGCCCCACTGCCTGGACCAGAAACAGAACAGCTCATCTTCCTACTGAAGTCTGTAGCCATAAGTTTCCGCAAGGAGGACTGAGATTCCAAACAAATGATTAACATCAACAGGAAAGAATGCTTTTTTTTTTTCAAATTTGCATATTGTTCTCTCTATTCCACTCTTTATCCATGGAATTTGTGAAAGAGCTGAATGATGCTATGGCCATGCATGGCGTTTGTTTCTCAATACAAGTCTTTGAACTATTACAGGATTGCAGAGGGAAGAAACCACCCAGGACAGGAAGAAAAATCAGACATAATTCTGAACTTTATGTATTCATAGTAATCCTTCCTCCTAAGAGTTGAAGGGGCATCACATCAAACAAATGAAAATGAGAAAGTTGCTTTAGAGATCATCACTTTAAACTCTCTCTCCTGAGAGTCGGCTCCACTAAATTCTACCAAGTCATGTTGAAGGATTGTACTCTTAGCAAGGAAATATCTACTCTGTGACAAAAAAAGGATGCCCTGAAATCACCAGCCAGATAAGGTAACCTAACAATTAAAGTAAAGCACTCAAGATTGTGGGAAGCCATTCTCGCACGTGATTGGGCACCTCCCTGATTGGGTGTGAGGCGTTCTGGCCAAACTGTGTAGGAGCTAATCCCCACCCTCTCCAGGTGCGAGAGCCTGTTTGTGTGGGGGTGTGACTGACCATTGACATTGAGACCAATCACTAACCCTGACCTTGGAATGCTGTCCCCCTCGACCTTTATTGGATGGAATTTTCCCCTGAATTTCTTGTTCCCCAATAAAAGGCCACTCCCTGGAGTTCTCGTCCCGCCGCCCCCCCTCTCTCTCTCCTACTAGTCCTGAGTAAGCCTTGCTGCCCCACCGGGTGGTTCTAGGCGAGAGCTAGAGGGGGAGCCGAGAGCTAGAGGGGGAGCCGTCTCGGACCTGGTCATAGAAAAAGGTAATTGAGTCTGTGTGTTTATTTTGATCTCACTAGTTAACTTCTATGCTACGAACCTCTTGTATGAAACCAGCGTGCTGGCCGCGCAGTGGACAAGATCTCATTGGACATGCAGCAGGGTGTTATAGGAAAACTAGAAGCTAAAAAGTGAATTTCCCATCAAGGTGACCCATGGCAGCCTATCATTTTTGAGTCTCATTCCAGTTTTCAGTAAATGGAGACTAGCTAAGAAGAGGTGACATTTAATGAGCACCTATTCACTACACATATTTGACATTATTTCACTGAATTTAATCTTCACATAAATTCTTAGAGTAAGCAATCTATCCAACTTTAGAATTGGGTAAAATAGAAGCCCTAAATAGTAAAATAAGTTGCTAGTATCACCCAGCTACTTTGGTACCACAGCTAGAATTTGAAATCAAGTAGGTTTTATCACAAAACATGGGTGCCTTGTACTATTAATATGCCTGCTGTGTCCTTCTCCAGGGCTATTGCAAATAACAAGGAAGATAATATATGTGGAATGTACTTTGGAAATGTTAAAGTTCTATATATACATATGGTTTTGCTAGCAACAAATAATAATATGTATAAGGAGTAAGGATAACTGGATTTCCTTTCTTCAAAGAATCAGATCCAAAAGAAATTTGTTTTCAATCTCCCTTCCATCCCCTTCTTCTGACCTTATTTTGAACATTTTGCTTTTCCTCACAAGTCCCTGGTCTCTCAGGCACACATTCAGATGTATCCCCACCAGCTCATCACAATGCATGCACACGGAACAAGCTGACGGAAGCAAGAGATTCCATCCTCTGCAAATGTTTGGTGTGGGAGGTACCTGAGTGGGTACCACTGGACTCTTACCTTCTCTCAAGATGTACCACACCCATTCTCAAGTACTCATCAATACTGCATAGAAATATTTTGAACTGTGAAGGGCAACTAACTATAAATACCAAAGTCAGGGACTTATGACATGGCCTGTAGATAGAACTGAATTATTGTGTGAATCAAATAAAAACAACTGTCATGAGCAGGGTACAGATGTATGAAAGAAGCTATTTAATTTTAAAATAGCAATAATACAGGAAGACCAGTGTAGGCCTGTGTGTGTTTGTGTTTAAATAAAGCAAGTTAGTCTCTAAAAGAGAATGAATTTAGTAGCATCCCTGCACAAATATTAGCTGAATAACATAAAGTTGCTTGACTGATCTAAGAGAGCAGGAATAGAAGGCTTAGCACAGTCTATTACAGCTGTGACTTCCAACTTCCTCCTCTGGTCTTTTTTATCCCTCATTAAATTAAAGCCCCTCGTTGTCAATGAAAGATGCCTCAGATCAAGGCAGTTCACAGGCCTGAGCCTTGACCTAAAAACTAGTAGAAAATTCATATCACTAAGAAATATCAATTTTATATTCCACATCAAGCATCCATGATCCAAGTCACATGTGAAAGATGTACTTTAACAGAACTGTTCAAACTCCGAAGAAGAAAACATCACATTTCCATATTTAAAAAACAAAAAGTCACTTCAGTGTAATAAGAAAGCAGTCTCAAAACTCAATGTCTCCAGGATTATTATTCAAGAATATTCATAATAGTTATCATCAGTTTCAAACAGACCAGGTACCAGGTCAGCCACTGTGCTAAAAACAAAATGTAACTTGAATTGCCTGCCCCATTTCATCCTCCCAACTACCCTAAGGTGACCACTATAATCTCCATTTTGGTGAGTGGGGAAAAATAGTTTTAGAAAGATGGACTAATTTACCCAAGTTCAGACAGCTAACACATGGCAGAACTGGAAACCAGGCAAATCCTCTTTTTACAGCTGGTAACTAACCCTGGGATCTGACAGCAGAGCAGGAAAATGCTTCCCCTGGTGTCCTGGTTCACAATTGCACAACCAGCGATGAAGGAAAGACAGGTTGGGAATGGGATCTTTAAGGAAATAGCAGAAGTTTGTTTTTGTGGTTTTGATTTTTCTCTAACTCTAGCCTCCTGTTTTCTTCCCAGTACTTCAAACTGGAAAGGGAGGGACGATATGGTTCCTTGAAGTCAGTTCCTTAAGGAGGGACATCTCATTCTCCACAAGGCCAACAGCTCCGCTCCCTGCCGGGACTGGGGAGAGAACTGGAAGTACCATAGGAGGTCACCAGCGTCCCTTCCCTCTCCCGGCAACTTCGCCTGGAGCCTGTGGGACATCCTCAGCAGGAGCATCTTTTCGAGAAAGCAGGTCAGCAAAGGAGAGAGTGAGGCTGCTGGCAGCCTTTACCCACGCTGTCATAGCTCGGGGTTGAGAGCGACGTGACACTGAATGGGCATGCTGGGACACAGCCTCCAGTGCTCATCGCTTACATTTGCGCGCTGGAGCAAGCAAGGCGCAGGAAGACCGGAGTAGATCCCGCAAAGGGCTGACAATGGGCATAGAAACGCACGGATCCCACGATTGCGTTACTTAATCCCTACACAAGCAAAGATGGGGCTCTGAACTGCTGGGTTCGAATCCCCGCCACCGCACTGAGTGATCTACCTTGGCCCCTGCCTCGCCCTGTGTCTCAGTTTTCCCTTCTGTAAAATAGGAGGATTGAAGGAGACGATCTCTAAGAATCCATCTACCCTGAGTTTCTGCGGCAGAATGAAACCAGTCCTCACTGCAGCGCGAGACTCACCTTTCTTGGGAAGCTGAGCGGGCACAGCGAAAGGGGCGGGATGGGTGGAGGGTCTCCCTGCACTGATTCTCTCCGTGCTCCGGGCCAAAGCGAAGCCCAGGGGACCTGGATCCCGGCCGTCTTCCCCAATGAGCCTCTTACTTTCCGCCGCACTTTCTTTTTCCCCCTTCGGGGCTCCTCCCCCGGCGCCGCGCGATTGGCCGCGATATCGTGGATCAGGCTCCACCCGCCGCCTTGGCTCGCAATCCACCAGCGTTCAGGGCTTCCCGAGCCTGCGGCTTCTGGGCGGCACAGTGGGCCAGTCCCGCCCGCTGCGAGGAGGAGCAGCGCAGGGGTCCGCCTGCGGGCGGATGCGAGGCTGTGCTCCTTCCTAGGGCGCCCAGCCACTGCCTGGACTGTTCTGAGCGCGCGAGGAAAGGAGAGCCATCCTCCTGCAGCTCAGCCTGGCACGGTGCCCGGCGCTCCGGGAGGATTACCGCCCCCCCCGCGCCCCCCTGCGCACGCACATACACCATACACATAGGCGCAGACATGTGCTCTTTTAAAATTATGGTCTCACTGTTGAAGTCGGAGCAACCCTGACTTTTCTTCCCGTCTGTATGTATCTAACTGTTATGGAGCAAGGCCATGACAGTCTTTTTGAGCGCCCACCATGTGCCAAACACAGAGAGCAACAGGAAGAAACAGAAAAGCCATCTCGGCAGTCCAGAGCTCTTACTAGAACTGACAGTCGTGTGAAGAAGCAACCGATCATGACTGCAGAACTGCATCTGAATTGTCCACTGGTAAATAATCAGTGCCTAGGACATACCTGGAACAAAATACGCTCTCAGTGCATGTGTGCTGAATGAATGAGTGAAATAACTAATTGGTGACAGAACGAAATAATCCCAATAGAAAGATTTCATTCATTCTCATTTCTCCAGCTTTCAGCAAGAGACTTCAGCTGCAAAACACAAACACACACACACACACACACACACACACACACGAACTCGGGATGGGAGTTGTAAAGGTGGACCCAGCACTGACCCAACTAAACTATTTCCTTCTCTGACTTCATTTTGCATCTTTGCTTTCTCTCCTGAGGTCTCCTGAGTCATTTTCTCCTGCAGTTACCTTGGATTCTAACAGGTCTGGTTGATAAACATCTCCATAACCAGAGACACAAAAAACTATCCCCAAGCAACAGCAAGCCTTTCAGGCAGATTACACTATGATAAGGTCCCCCCTAAAACTGGCTCATGATGAAATTGTCCCCCTAAGCAGAAGCAATTATCCCATGATCAGAAACTGAGACTATCCCCTAAGCAGGAGCAATCTTCTCTGATGGGAACAGAATTGTCCCCTCATCCAATAAAACTTCTCTGAGTTTGGAGAACTCATCCTGAGATAAGGATCAATCAGATCATCACCTGTTTAAAATCCTCTGCATTGTTGGCTATGCAAACCTGCCAACCTTTGCCTTCTTGCCCATTTCTATAAAACCTCAAAGTTCTTTGTCATCCCCTTTAAGACAGTTCTTAGATCACTTGACCAAAGTGTGGCTTCTCAGTGTGGCTATACTGATTAAAGCTCTTTCCTGCCTTCACACTGCATGTGTCTTTCTTTGGCATCTTGGGACAGGTGGCTAAATCTAGTCCATTAGAACCCCCAAAACCTGAGCCTTTTCCCTAAAATTCTGGTAACATTTGTACAATCATCCCGAGAAGCTTCATAATGGCTGTCATTAAGTCAACTCTCTTATTTAAGAACCTTCTGTTGTTACCTTTGATAGTCCAATAGGATTTCATCCTGACTGGCCTGCCCTTCCAACTCTACCCCCATTCTCTGACCAAGGCATCTGCCAAACTGACTTGACTCTTCACAAATGCCTTGCTCCTCACATCCTCGACTTCTCCCAGCCCTCCACTCCTAGAGCTACCTAATTGAAACATATTAATTTATTTATTATGGAACTTGAAGTCCAGAGAAAGCAATTAAGGAGAAGAAAAGGGATGTAAAAGAAGAAAAGGGCCTAGGTGAGTGCAGGTGAAAGGGGAGCTAGTAGATGCCAGTCTTGCTAAAGGCTCAGGTTCTTCCCCTGCCCTGGTGAAGCTTAACTCCCATAATGTAATCAAAACTATAGAAATATCATGTTATTTAACTTACTCATATCACCTAGGAAAATTCAGCCCAAGAAATTATTATTTATCTTTGGCTATAGGGTACATGGTACATGCCCATCACACTGTTTCTGATCAAAAGAGGAAGTACTCCAAAAACATTCAAAAAGTTACCTGTGTAAAACAAAAATAAATTCTTCAATGATTTATGATTCATTCATGAAGCATATCTCAGGCACCAATTTTTGTGTCTCATGTAGCACACGTACACAGAGTCTATCAAGTAGTAGGCAGGATCATGAAGACTTTCCACATTCTCACTTAACCCTCATAGCAACATGTAGGCTACTATTATTATCTTCACTTTATGGATGAAATAGAGAGAAGATAAATAAATTGTCCAAGGCTACAAGCCTACCAGTGGAGAAGTCAAAATGAGACCTCAAGTGGTCAGCATTCATGCTCTTAGACACTTCTCTACGACCTTTGTGCTACCTATAAAACAGGCAGATGATGGGAGTTCAAAATCGAATCAGAAGTAGTTCTGGACTTTGAGAGTCTACTTATAGTTTACTGAAAACAAAAGACATATAGATAAATAATGACAGTATATTGTAATTTGAAGACTGTATAAATGATGGGAATGAAAATGATTAGTTAACCAGTTTTCTGTTAAAATTTTCATATTATGGAAATGTATCTATCAAGATAAAGGCTTACAACATAATAATGTTGAGTAAAAATTATGAAGACATATGGCTAGCAGTTGAAAGAAATGTGAAAAAAAATGTTGATGCATTAGGATTATGAAAATATAGTAATAGTTTTACCTTTTAAATTTGTTGTAATACCAAAATACTACTAAAACAATTAACAACTTAAAATGTTTAAAAGTATCTGTCACATAGCAGGCATTCAAAAAATAATTATTTCATGAATAAATAAATGAATGAAACTGCAAATTCATTGCTATCCAGTACCTAACAGTACTGGGTGTGTAGGAGACACTCGATAAAACTTGTTTGCAATTGAGCAATGTATTTGAGAAAAGCATTATTTTTTTCTTTCTTCCCTCTGATATCACCCCCATTTTTTGGCACTTAGGTATCTTTATAAGTTTTGATAGCTCTTTGAACCCTATCCAATCAAACTTTTTGTCACTAACACTTGATAATCACAGTTTATAATGACTTCCACTTTTACAAATTCACTGGTCAATTTTCAGTCATCATTTTACTTGACCTATTAGCAGCTTCTACATAGTCAATCCATTAGTTCTTTCTGGAATGCTTGTTTTATGTCTATTTCTTCTGATACTTCTTATCATATTCTTTTGCTAGATTCCCTACTTCATGATACCTGAAGACAGTAATGTCCCAGAGCTAAGTCTTTGGAGTAATTATGTATCCTCTCTCAGGATGGTATCCAGATATATAACTTTTAAAATATCTATATGGTAATGACCTGCAAATTTAAATGTGCAGTTCAAACCACAGACTGTATACACCATTTGTCTCCTGTGTTTTCCCTTTTGTGTGTGTGTGTGTGTGTTTTACTGGGATTGTACCACAGAGCTACATCCTCAGTCCTTTTGATTGTCTATTTTTGAGACAGATTTTTACTAAGTTGCCCAGGTTGGCCTTGAACTTGCCTTAGTCTCCAGAGTACAGTATATAGGCTTATACCCCTGTATCCAGCTCCATTACCCTTATTGATGTTTTGTGTACATACTGAAGTTTACATGCTCAAAATCAAGATTTTTTGTTGGTTGGTTGGGGATTGAACCCAGGGTCACTTGAACACTGAGCCACATCCACAGTCCTGTTTTATATTTTATTTAGAGACAGGATCTGGCTAAGTTGTATAGGGCCTCACTAAGTTACTGAGGCTGGCTTTGAACTCACCATCCTCCTGCCTCAGCCTCCTGAGCCTCTGGGATTACAGGTGTGTGCTACCATACTGGGCAAAAATCAAGTTCTTTCTTTTTATCCCTCACCAAGCATTCTCCTTTCTATTTGCACAGATTTACAAGAAACTATTGGCATCAAATCAATATTGGCATCAGATTCACCATTTTAGGTCGGGAGTCATTTTATCTAGAGGTTACAAAGTTTTGGTTCTGAGGCAAAGCTGCTTAACTTCCCAAAGAACACATGCCTGCTATCAGCCCCATCCCAGCTTAAACTCCTAAGCAGCTTATGATATTCCTCTTGCAGGCTATAAAGCTGCTCTGTGAGTGCGGACAGGCCACTGCTCTCCTTGGAGGGACAGCCTTTTCCGTATGCCTCCTGTGACTGACAATAAATCTCTTGAGTGATGCTCCAGTGTGTGGCGTGGTCCTTGGACTTTGTGTGGACTCTGCGAATGTCCTTTCAGAAACACTATCTTTTAACCAGTGGCAAGGTCAAAACTTTGGAGTTATCATTGTTTCCACTCTTTCCTTCATTGCTTGTGTGCAATCCATTCACAAACCTTCTACTTCCAATGTATTTAAACTACATCTTGAATCTAGGAACACTATTCCTCTCCTCCATCACAACCACCATGGCTCAATTCACTGTCACTTCTCTCCTCACTGGTCTCTCTCTGCTTAGACTCTTGTCCAGACAACCTGTTTCCCATACTTCAGAGATCCTTAACAATGGAAATCAGAACAAATAGTGATTAAGAGCAAGACTCTGAAGGCAGACTGCCTGAGTCCAATTTCAAATTCTGAAACATATTAACATAACATTATCAAGTTACTTAACTTTGTTTTGCTTCAGTTTCATCCTTTGTAAAATGGAAATAATGATATCTTTACCGTAGTGCTTTTTTAAAATTTAATAAGCTTATGTCAGTAAAATGTTTGGAACACCTATAAACCTATGGCACATATAAAGGGCATGTAAACATTCCTCATTATTTTTATAAGAAATAGTACATCACATCGTACCCTGCTTTCAAATATTCAGTGATTTCTTCTCATGATGAGGTAAGTTTTCAGAGTCCTTACTGTGGCGTAAGGGGC